TTTTTTACATTGATTATTTTCTTTTTATTTCACTTTTTATGTCGTTAAAAATACTTCAGTGGAATGTTAAAGGCTATATAAGTAATTATTTTGCACTACAACTTTTAATCAAAGATATAAACCCGGATATTATTGCTCTGCAAGAAACTCATATAGCTTTCAATAGAAACAACATAATAACGCCTAAAAATTTTGTGGGATATTTTTACAACCTTCCCATAATACTACAGCCAAACAAGGCATAGGAATTTTAATAATAGTTTTAATAAATCATATTCCACATAAACATATATACTACAACTCAAACATTTGTTTGAGTTTTGCAGGCTGTTTGTAAAATTAATTTATATATTCCGTCTCAACAATTAATCTCGGCACTTGATATTAGAAATTCTTTTAATAATATTTATACTCCTTTTATTGTTACATGAGATTTTAATGCCTGGATTCCTTTATGGATTTCCAATGAATGCAATAGCAGGGGTAAAATTATTAAAGATGTAATTTTAATCGAAAACCTCGTTATTTTAAACGATGGGTCTCCCACACATTTTTCTACTCGCAACACATTTTCTCACATAGATCTTACAATGTGTTCAACCGCCCTCACATCTAAATGTGCCTGGAACATACTTCAAAATCTGCACGGCAATGATCATTTTCCAATTGTAATTAGCTTACTATCAAATCTCCAATATGATAAACTTAACCCAAGACTAAAGTTCAAAACCTATTTTGCGGATTGGGACAAATTCCAACAACTTTGTAAACAAAACAATAACAAATTCAATATAGCAGACGAAAATAATAAAGAAGCAGCCAATTTGGGTAAAATTATTAGATATGCAGCAAATATTGCGATCCCACAGACAAAGTCATCATATGTTAAAGTAAAAATACCATGGTGGAAATCCAATTTAAAACAACTTAGAAACGAAAAACAATTTCATTGGCAAAATTTTAAAAGATTTAGGTCCCATTCTAATTTAGTTTTGTATAAAAAGGCCAAAGCACTATTTAGAAGGCAAGTCAAAGCCGCGAAAATAAAAAGCCAAAATAAACCCAAAATGAAGTACAAAAAAGATTTGGGCTGACATAAATATGCTAACAGGCAGATACAATAACACTATAATAAGTTCCATTAACACCGGCTCAAATCTTCTGACGTTAAGTAAAGATTGGTCTAATTTCTCCAAAGATTGTCACTTTTCGCAACAATTTAAAACTAATGAAAGTTTTTTCTTTCTAAAAATTTAGAAAGAAATTTAGAAATTTAGAAACCTAATTAGTCCTAATCAAGTCGCCTTTAGGAAAAATCAAAGCACAACTGATGTCCTTCTACATCTCCATCACTATGCGACTTCTCCCCTTTCTAGTAAAAATCATGTAACCATCTTAGCTACTGATTTTGAAAAAGCATTTGATCGCATCGGAGTATACGTTGTGCTTTAGCGGCTTGCTATTTGGAAAGTTGGTCAAAGGATCTTTAATTTTGTTAAAGCATTTTTGACTAATCGCATATGTGTTGACTTATGTGTTTGGATTAATTCAACTCGCTCCGATATCTTTGCTCTGTATAATGAGATTCCACTAGGATCTCCAATATCAGTAATTTTATTTATAATAGCTTTTGATCCATTAAGTAAAATAATATTAAAATACAATAGAGTTGAACATGCTATATACGCTGATGATGCAATAATATTCTCCAAAGTTAAGAACATATCTATAGTTCAAGTAATCTTCACTGAGATATTAAATGACATAAAAGAATGGAGTAAATTTTCCGGTGCTAATCTTGTCTTAAATAAATGTAAAATTGTGCACATTTGTAAAAAAAAAGAATTGTAACCAACTAAACTTAAGCTACAATGCCGTAAATATCGAAGTTGTTAATTATTTAAAAATATTAGATATAGAGTTTGACAACAAACCTAACTTTAAGCAACAATGTCTAGAATTAAGAAAAAACCTAGCTGTCAGGTTAAACATAATTAAATACTTTTCATATAAACATTTTTTTATTCATGTATCAACTTTGATTAATATCACTAAATCACTTATACTCTCTAAATTAGATTATGCTCTACCACTCTTTGGATGGTGTGCAAACAGCAATATTAGACAGTTGAATGCACCCTATCATGCTGCCGTTCGAAGAAGTATTGCTGCGTTCCGCACAACTTCAACCAAAAACTTATTGACAGAAGCTGGACTTCCTACAATATCAAATCGAGTTAAGTCAACAACTTATAACCTTATTCCGAAACTACTGTGCAGCAACAACGCTATTTTACATAAAGACGTTGTAAATGTATTCCATCAAAAGCGAACAAATAGAGTTAAATCGACACTTGTGCGGTGTATTGAATATGCTAAATTGATCGACCTCGACATTAAACCCCATCGTATGATACAAAATCATGAACCCCTTTGGTTTCTTAATCCAACATATTTTGTAATCGACCTGCAAACCTATGAAAAAAGAAACACAACCACTAAAATGTATAGACAAGTGTTTGCAGAATTTTCTGATTGCTATATAAAAAACAATTGGACTCTATTGTGCACAGACGGTTCAAAAACTGAAAATCATGTCACATTCGCTATAATACAACAAAATGGCTCCATAGTCACGACTGGATTAGTTGCACCCCATTGTTCCATCTTTACTGCAGAGGCTCTAGCTATAAAACTTGCTACTGACCACGCAACATGCAACAAAGGCAAATTTCTGATATGTACCGACAGCAAATCTACAATTGAAGCTGTAAAAAATATCAATAATAACACCGAACTTATTTGCGCTATCAGAAACAACTGCATACGTTTTTCAAACAAAATTAAAATCATATGGGTTCCTGGGCACGCAGGAATTAAAGGAAACGAACTAGCAGATCAAGCTGCATCTGCCGCCATTCGCTTTCCCTAGTTCTTATTCAAGACATCCGAAAGAAAAGACGTTTTAAAATTTATAAACAAATATATGGAAGACGAATGGGCTATGGAATGGTCAGTGTACAACTATCGCTTCAAAACGATCAATACCAGTGGTTTAAAAGCTATATATCCACTATTATGCACTCATCAACAATGTAAGATTTTTATCCGATAGCGAATGGGACATTCAAAGCTTTTTCATGAACATCTTTTGAGTGGCGATCAGCCATCAAACTGTCCATTCTGTAATGGCACACCATCTATAGATCATATATGTACATAACGATTGCCCTTCTTTTAATTCTATTCGTAGTAATGTCTTTCCTAATATCTTACCTACCAGCCTATTAAAAACAATTACTGTTGAAAATATACTTTTAATAAATATATTAAAGCCTGTAACCTAGTAAATAAAGTTTAATTTTTAATATCCGGGCCTGACGGGCCCTGGCAGCTAGCGCTCGTTTTTCTTATCTTAGTTATAAGATTTTATATTTTGTAATTAATTATAATAAATAAATAAATAAATAAAATAAGAATCCAGGTTTTCATAAAAACATTTCTAGTTGATTGCTCACCTACATATACATATACAAAAATATGTAATAATTGTCAAAATAAAAACCTGAAACGGTAATGTGAACGCTAAATCAACTTTAGCAAAGTTCGTTGACTAAATGTAAACCTCGTATTACGACACCACTTCCAAAAACTATTGCAATCCACCTCAATTTTTGAGATAAGCAAGATTCAGCTTCAGTACTCTGTTGTAATCATTTTCTATAACACTCCTTAGTTTATGTAATTTTTTACAAGTTTTTTGCAGATGGAAATTGTAACGTATAGGTAACCAGATATATTTCATCATAATAGATAAAAGTTATAACATGAGCCTAATCTTAACTGCTTAACATGCTTATTGGACTATGGACCGTAACAAATTACTTGACCTTATTGATTTCGGTGCTATCAGACGCTAAACTAGTAGATTATCTTCATTAAGAAGTAAGCTAAAAGTTGTTAAAACAACCTTATATTAGCACTACTACAAGAAAAGTTAAACAACGAATACAACTTTATTTAGAGTTGGTCTTCAAACCGAACATCTTATGGAAAGTTCACAGGACTGTCTTTTTATGTTTTCCTTGTGGAGAGCTTATGAAACTTTAAAAACTCGTGTTCTCTGAAACGCCACTAGGAGATGCAAGCAGCAATTGGGTGTAGAGCGATAAAGAAAAATACAATCTTTTTGCGTAACACCTAAGTCTTGTCTTTTCCCAACTTACAATTCGTACTCAAATATTCAGACTGACATATTAACCAATAATCTTCTCTTAGTACAATTGAAAACAAACTCTCACCAGTTTGGCTGTAAAAAAACTCATGGTATTATCGAGCAAGTAAATCGATTATCAAAGGTATAGGATTTCCTTTCGACCACATGAAACACTGTTCTGCAGTGTTTCTCGACGATAAACAGGCTTCTGATAAAGTATACCACGACGAGCTCAAAAACCTGTAGAATGTACTTGAAGACTGTAGGCTACACCTAAAAATGCAGAATACTTTTTGTCTAATCAGTGTTTACCTGGACAGGTTATTAATTTGAAATGAGTTTACTTCCTTTAATACACACGCGCACATTGAAAACCGTAAAATAGGATATCTATTTCATCGCAACTAAACACAGATTTAGTTTAAAGCCCTGAGATTTTTTTGTGAATTCAAATGGGTTAAAAGTTTGAAACTTAAAACCTTAGCATTCTTTGCATGACAGAGTTTAACTCCGACAATTTTGTGATTTTAGAAATAACTTCAACACGAAATTTGTCGATGAATTCCGAAAATGCGGCACAAATATATCATGTTACAAATTGGGAGCGGAAGAGTCCCTTAAGCTTCAGTAAAAATTTAATTCGCATTAAGAGCACCTGAAGTAGCTTTAAAACGAAATAATTTAGTTTTTTTATTCGAATTATAATTTTAAAGTTTGTAATACAAAACTATTTATCAAAACTGATTTTCCTGCATTTTTGTGGTTTACAATTTGTTCAATGCAGTGCATCAAGGGCTGTGACTATTGGTGGCGCGCACTAAAGGAGTTCGAACCATGTCAGGAATCATGCGTAAGTAATCATTGAGCAAAAAACTCAAAGTTTAATAATTCACTAATTTTTGTGTATTATTTGTTTTTTGTGTATTATTTTACATAGTCTTCGACACAATTTTATCCTTATGATTTACCTTGTATTTCCGCTTGTGAAGCAGCCCAGGGACAGTATTGGCATTTACAGCGACTGGCCATGAAAGTATTGGTTAGCACAATAGTGCCATTAATTCTTAATAAAAGCTTAACTTCGGACTTTCTGGCATTACAATGGCCCATAACTCTGCCCGATAACTATTTGTTAAATCGGCAGTTTAACCTGCAATACCAACATGCATTGCAAAGCGCCAGTGATGAACCAGTAAATGCGGCTAAGAACAATGGCGATAAAAATTATAATAATGTTGCCGAACAGGAGGCATCAAATATGAAATATCAGCAATGGATTAACTTGGCCAATTTTAATTGTAATGAGAATTTTGAGTGCGAAATATTTGACGCTTTAATGCCGTATTCCAGCTATCGGGTATGTGCTCAGAGTGAAAAACTGATTGGTATTATAGAAATACATAACGTGATGAATCATTGACATCTTTCATAATATTTCGATTTTTTACATTAACAGTTTCGTTTCGAATTACCTTTTGGTGAAAATTCAGATGATACTTTATATTCGCCAGCCACTGCAATTTATAAAACGCAAGCTGCAGGAGCTCCATTATTAAAGCCAATAATTAACAGTTTTTCTGCATTGGACCATAGCCATCTTGCACTTTTTTGGCAGCCAGCGATTTTTACAAATGGTCCATTAAAAGGTTTTAAATTAAAATTACGAAATTCCGAAGAAACTTACGCTTTCGAAAAGGTTCAATAATTTATATTTTTTTAATTTATATTCTTTGATTACATATTGTAATAATGGAGAAATGTTTTCCATAGTGGTTGCCAGCGAATGTTACTCAATACATTTTTAGCGATTTGCTACCACACACCAATTATACAGTGCAGTTGCTGATGTTAAATGAGGTGGGTGAAGGACCTTTTGCGGTCAGAAGTGCTTCCACAAAGCCAATATCAATATCTGTAGACTTCTTTAGGGATTTGAGTTCCGTTGTGCTTGCAGGTGAATATAGCATTAAACTTAAAGTCTTAGAGCGCTTAGCTGAGACAAAAGTTTTATATCAAAGCGACCAGCTTATAACTGATTGTGCAGTCAGTTTATCAACCGAGCAGCTTTTCCTTATTGATGAAAAAGGCACAATTAAAAGGTAAAAATTGCTTTTTATTTCACAAAGTAAATATAAACAATATTTTTTATTGAAAAAAAATTTTTTTGAGAAATCAAAAAATTGAAAGTAAGAGTTTGCATGTTTAAGTAAAAAGCATTTAAATAATAATTCAGTGTTTTTTTTTAGATTATGTTTTGATGATTCTGATGACCACTCAGTGCATTTGATTAATAAGACAGCTTTCAGTTTCAAACCCACGAAACTCTCCGTGGATTGGTTAAACAAGAGACTATTCATTGCTGGAGAGGTAAGACTTTATTTAAATAAAAGAATAAAATATGTTTGTTGTGGAAAGTGAAGTGTTTAGACTATAAAGTAAAATTTGGTTAAGCCTAATGTTTTACTTAATAAATTTAAATTTTGTATTTAAATTCACAAAGCACTCTTAAAGAATTCATACCAGCTATTTTGTTACTAACACACTGTAATTAGGTAATCTCGCACTGTTATTGAAAAAAAAATATAAACTTATTGAGGACTGAAAAAAGATCCGATTCATCTTTCTTGCACCCGTTTGTCAATCAGACACAAAATGAAATACAACAGATGTCCAATTCAAGAAATGTTTTCTTAAATGAGGAAATATAGCTTTCCTGTTATTATTTTTTTAAAAATTATTTTTATAATTTATTGTTTTAATGACCAAAATTTTGATTTATTATTTTTGTTTTGGAAAATAGCTATTCATTTCTTCATATAATGTACTTTTTTAATTAGTTGTTAAGAATTGTGTTTTACTTACACCAATATTTCGACTATATTCTATAGCCATCTATATATATATATATCCTCAGGGTTGGTTGGTTGCAGTGGCAGGTCATAAGATAACTTCAAATGTACCTCAATTAGCGATTTTTCGCCGTTTTGTTACCACATTTCTCGCAAGAACCCTAATATAGAAAAGTAGAGACTAAATCCATCCCACTGAATTTTGGTAATTTAAAAGGTCTTTCATCTTCACCATTGAGCAGTCTGATAAACTATCATAAAAGTATTTTCCTAAGAACCTATATCTTCTGGATACTAGAGCTGGGCTATCTTCAAGATACTAATATAAAATTATTTTAATATAGCAATAATTGAGCATACCTAAAATGTTCAATAAAGCCCATGTCGACTGTATATAATATATATATTATGTTACATATATACAATTTCATTTTTAATCCTCATTTTGTTTACATTCATTCAATTCTTTGAAGAGTTTCCTTAGTGATTTTTGAATATCGTGTGCTTTTGCTTTGAACCTTAAAATACCTGCAATATTGTTATAATCTATATGAGGCTCGTACTACTATAAAGGGATTGCCGATATGTGAGTAAAGTCTTCAAACTAAACTGAAGCAACAAAAGATTATGACTGGGAAATGACCCCAAATCTTTGTTCCAAGTTTTGATCAGCTTAGTGATATTATTTCGCAATAAATGATTTTAAAAACTTCCTTCTCTAGATAAAAATAGTAAATAATATATGCAAAAAACGACATAAAATTTTGCAGTGCATTTTTATTGAATATGTGGCACAAATCACAAAACAAAATTACATAACTATATGAAAAATTGATTTTTTGGCTGACAAAGCAGCTATTTCGAGTATTATCAAGTCCATATCAGTTGGTTTACATATACCCATATATATAAATATATATATATATATATTTTTGAGTATATATAATTGTTGAACTACAAACGCCACATTTAAAAATTCGAATCTGTCAAAATTTGGACCTAATGACTAGAGCGTTTAGATACACACCGTGTACAGTTTCGATATCTCAAAATGTGAGCTACATATATCGGCATATAAAGTAGTGGAGAAAAAGGTTAGAATATTAATACTTACAAATCCGCGTGCCCGGTTAATCAAAATAGCGCTATATGCGAACATTAACACTTAAGTAAAAATAAATTTTCTCAGACGACAAAGCATTAGTATAGAAATTGAAAATAAGATATTGTGAAGATGTTTTCATAACTCATATTTTTTTTCTGTTTACTAAATTCTTTTACAGAACACACTAACATTGTGGAGCTTAATAAGTACTGACTTTGATGGAAATTCCGTGCAAACTCATTTTACAAACATCAGAACAAAAATGAATCAAATGGAAGTTGATCCTATTAACGGTTGGTTGTTTTGGTCCCACGTAAGCGGCATATGTATTTTAAACTTGGCTACAAACAACATTAAAAATGTTTACACCAGTTCACAAATTGGCCATTTTCATAACGACTTCAAAAGATTTTTGCTCGTAGTATACCAGAAAGTAGAGCATGCATTTTACGAGTTGAGTTATGATGGTACATATAATCGCAAATTATTGGAATTGAACACAAGTCGAGAATTTTTGGGTGAAGTGCAGAGTTTTATATATGTGGATAGTAATATTATGGCAACAAATGGTACACACTTAATGCGTCAGAATTATCGCTCTAATGAAAACGATGTCTGGTTTCTACGAGATTTGGAATGGTGTTGGCATTTGCTGCCAGTGCAATACAAATATGTACAACCTCATCCACTACCAACAATAGAACCGTTTGGTTTGAAAGCTTTGCTTACCTCAAATATGGCAAAAATAACTTGGAATGCACCAAAACACATACACTTTCAGAGTGATTACGCTTGGCAGCATTGGGAATATGAACTTGAGATGATGGATGTGGCCAGCAATAGTGCCTTCAATATACGTAATATTAAATCAACATATTTCAATGTGGAGAAATTACAAGCAAATAATTTATATAAGATACGTATACGAACTGCAGCAAGCCACAGTTTACCAGCGGGCGAGTGGTCTGAAGAATTGTTGACGCGCACTTGGCCATTGGGTGCACATAAACTTATGTGGGCCAGTGCTAACGGCTTGTATCAAACGAACGAGATTGGGTTAAACGCAATACAAGTTGGTGAATTGGGAAATATAAGAGACTTTGTGCAGCTGAATGGAACCATGTACTATATCACAAGCAATAATCTTCTGAAATGTGCTAATATAATGAATCCTGAGGTGAGTTGTACATTTCCTCTCACTGCTTCTGTCAAAACTATAGCATATGATTGGCGGGGTGGAAAGCTTTACTGGACAGACGTATTAAAAAATTGCTTACTACGTGCCAACTTGGATGGTAGCGAAAAAGAGTTGTTGCAAGTACTAGAAGCAGAACATATTGAGATTGATGCATACAATGGATATATTTATTATTCAACGGGATTGAGATTAGTACGACGCACTTTAAGTGGAAATATTGACGTAGAGGAAGTTGAATATTTTCATATAAATGAATTTGGTGGTACTATACGTGGGTTTGCATTAAATATTCCTCAAAAAAAGTTATACTGCGTTGTTCGTCAAAATGACGGCCAAATTCGCTTGTTTACAACAAGTTTGGAGAATAACTATGGAAAATCGAATGACAATTTATTGCATTATGACATAGAATACAATTCTCTCAGATATTTGCATGACATTGAGAGCCTTATGTGGTTACAATTAAATAGTAGTAAATTAAATATAATGCGTGTTGATACTTTTGAAATTCAGACCATTATTGAAGGTAGTACTTTTGGAAGAGTAAATTCTGTAAGGTTAAAACTAGAGTATATGCCCTACGTTGATGTCAGTGTAATTCCAGATCCAATAGACATTAGTAGTATTCGCATCGATGATGGTTACTGGGATGATTTCAATGTTAAATGGAATTCGATTGCAACTGCAGAAAATTATACAGTGTTTTATAAGTTACTTGTAGAAACTCTTGATAAGCAAAAACCACAGTTTTATTGCAGGGAAGTAAGTAATCCTTTTTTGCGAATAACTGAGTTTAATCAACCTGATCTGTTGTTAAATGTTACTATAACTCCATACACTTATTGGCATGCAGGTACTGCGATACATACACTTGTACGTTCTCCTGCCGCTGCGCCAACACAACCAATGCGATTACGAATTTTTGTAGAACGTATTAATAGGCCCCTACAAATACTACAGAATGTCAATGCCATTTTACGATGGGACCCACCGGAAAACCTCACTATTAATGTTGAAGTTGATTATAAAATATATTGTTGGATGCATGACAAACTATTTATTGAACGAGTATACCATTTTAGCAATCAAAGACCGTTAGAGGCTATAATTAGTAACCTTAGTATAGGAGAAACTTACACATTTCAAGTGCAAGCACTCGCAGCTGGTAGGCTAATAGGAGGTGAAAAAACTGCATTGTATGCGTTGCACGTGAATCCAGAAGTGCAAGCAGTTCCTCGGTTAATTTATACAACAGCAGAATTCATAGCTGAACTCGATATGGATCTTAATCATCGAAAAATACTGGTACACACCACGAGCGAAGTTGATCACTTAGCGTTTTTGGAAGGTGAGGAACGTTTACTATGGGTTAATGAGAACGTTGAACTTATGACCTTCGTACCTGGATCAGTTCCAGTGAAACTAGTTCGTATGCGCGCTGAAGTACTATCTCTCGCTGTTGATTGGATTCGAAGACTTGTTTACTGGGCAGAAATGCATAATGACTTAGAAAAGGTAGTGTCAGTCTACAGACTTGACTTATGTCAGTTCGAAGGACGCATTAAATCGGGATATAAATTGTTTAACTTAACAACAGGAAAGTTATTAAAAGATCTCGTTGTTCTGCCTTATTCGCAAGCCGTTTTGTGGTTGGAATATGATGCTGAAACTCCAGAAAATGCCACACTTCGAGGTAGAAGTCTTATAGATTTGAATGTACTGAAACTGAAGAGTGTTACTGCCTCAAAAATGTTTGAAGACACATTTACTTTAGAGCTAGAAACAGTAAATTTGATAGATTTTAGGGGAAAAATTTGTACCTATGATGTATATAGGCAATTGTGTAATCCCTTGAGAGTATATTTTAATATTATCACTGATAATATAGATGAAATTGATCGAGATTCTGGTTTCATATATACTTTTAAGAATGGCACGATACGTGCCTATAGTAGACGTAAGCAAACATTAGAGCACGTAGCAGACGTATTGAATGGACGGAAAATTAAGGCTCGTAACTATCAAGAATATCCAAAGGCTAAATGTTTATTACCCGAATATGAGAAATTTATCCAAGCTAAAGATTTGCTCACTCCTAAAATACAGCTCATTATGGAAACTTATATTCAGTTAATAATGCCAGACTTAAACACAGATGAGGATTGTGTGCTTAGATTACCAGGAGAAAAGTATATGTTGTCGCTACATAGTGACGGTTTCAATGTACGGAACTTTACAATTTTTGAAAGACTTATTAATATAACTCAGTTAAAGCCCTTTACGAACTATTCACTGCAATTGAAAGCATCGACTTTTTATCTTCAAAAACTTGGGCGTCTTCCGTTGATGTCCAAACAGTTTTATGTGCAAACAAAACCCGGAACACCAACAGCTCCAGAAAATTTTACTGCTTTCGCTTTAAGTCCAACAGAAATACAAATTGATTGGTCCACACCGCGTATTTTTAATTCTGAAAAAGTTTGGTATCAATTGATCTGGAAAATAACTAACTCTACTATTAGAGAACACAAAACATTAAGTGAAACGTCTCTGATTTTAACAAATTTAATGCCAGCGCAGTTTTACACAATTTGGCTTATAGTTTTCTCAACAGAAAATAAGTTCAACACAACAGATCCTCTTGACGTAACAACTTTTGCCGAACCCAATTCCTTGGTATTAAGTGAGCAAACACCGAATAGTCTCACAGTTAGTTGGGTACCAACTTTAAATATAATTTCTGCTGTATTAGTGTGCATTGAGTTGAAAGGAGAAAACAAATACAGTGTTGATGTTTTGGAAAATTCAACTTATACTGTCATTTCACATTTAAAACCGAAGACGATATATATGTTCTATTTACAATTAGTTTATAATTCTGTAGTACGCCCTTACTATTGGCCTGAACGTTTAACGGAACGGTTCTTATTTGAGACATTAGGCGATAAGCCAAGTAGTCCAGGACAGCCACAGATAGAACATATAGCTGGCGAAATATTTAAAGTTTTTTGGGATGGTTCGGTTGATAATGGAGCTCCAATCATTGAGTATAGTTTGGAGGCATTACAGACTCGCTTCGTAAAGCGCAAGCGCCGGCAAACAAGCTCGGAACTGAATTCTATAATTTTGTTAAATAATTTACCGTGGGCAGAAGAACCGACACCACTTGAGGACAAGTGGATAGTGTATTGCAACACGATTGAACTAAGCTGTATTGTACGAGAACTACATACACTACGATTGCTTATGTTTCGCGTTAGAGCACGAAACCATCCGTATGGCTGGGGTCCTTATAGTATTCATAGTGAACGTGTTTCAGAGCCATTTGTCTCTCCAGAAAAGCGAAACTCTTTAGTTTTTGCTATAATAGCACCGGCAGCTATTGTTTCGTGTTGTGTGATTATTTTGATAATTATACGAATGGGTAGGTTGTATAACTGTTTAGTAATTTGAACTTTAAATATACTACATTTTTTAATTTTTAGTACAAAAGCGCCGTTTAAAAGCTAAAAAATTAGTAAAAAAAGGTAGACTAAGTATTTGGAGTGATCTTTCTGGCTTACAACAACAACAGCTAATGTCGTTGCGTTCAAGGGGCTTTTCAATTGCAAGCAACACAACTTTGTATACCGGTGGACCATTAAGTGATGCAGATATTGCTTTGCTGCCACATGTGAACTGGAATCAAATTACAGTATTGAATTTCTTGGGAAGTGGAGCTTTTGGTGAAGTTTATGAAGGTTTAGTTAAGCATGACGATGAATCACAGAAAGTCGCTATCAAGGTAAAACTAATGGCGTTTTTAATTGGTAAATCTGGAGTAACTTTTTTTAATCGAGATTTAGTTTTAGTGCAATTTTCATTTTCGATTGATAAGTCTGTATATCTCTCGAGAATAATATACATATAGCAAAAAAAGTCTGCGTTCACCCACAACATTTTTCTTAAATTTCGCATAACTTATTTAATTTTTACTGAAATTAATTTCTGTTTTCTGATTTATTTAAATCAAAGAAACAATAATGAAGTTAAAACAAAAAAAAATTTACAGTTATTCTTTAAAACAAAAGTAAACACAATTATATGCAAAAGCAACAATTTTTGAACCCTAAAAAGTCTAGGAATATTTCTTAATACTTACATTGACCGTCAATTTAAATTCGCTTGCAAGCATAAATGTGTCATTAGATGATATTTAATTATTAGTTGACTTTCTAAAGACTTTAAGAATTAATCATTTAATAATATTTTTTTATATAAGCAATTAATTTTTACAACAAAAAATTAAAGACGTGAAATTAGTTTTAGTGGGCGACAAATAACTGTTAAATTTTGGAAAGATGACGTTAGCCAACGAAAAATTGCTGAAGATATTAGTCGTCAATATTCATCTGCGCAGAGAGTTATAAATAACTTCCAGGAGACGAGTAATTACATTTCTAAACCTCGCACTGGTAGCCCCTTATTTGTGTCAGATAGAGAAAGACGTAGCATAATCAGCCAGATGAAAGTAAATCCAAGAGTAACAGCGTTCAAATTAGCTGAACATATTGCCAAAATACTTGCAAACAAAATATGTCCTGATACTGTGGGAAAAATATTTAAGAAGAGCAAGTGTTATGACGGTTGCAAAAAAGAAGCCATACATATCCAGATATAATATGTAGAATAAAATGATTAAATTTTGCAAGAAAGCATGTAAATAATTCGATGGAGTTCTGGAAATGAGTTATTTTCTCTGAAGAGAATTAATTTTTCATATTTGGAAAAGGTATAATACTTGTGTGGAAAAAATCATGTACAGCTTATGATTAACAAAACTTAATTTCAACGGTGAAACACGGTTTAGTTTAGGGGTGTATAGAAAGTAATGGTTCTGGCAAATTGAAATTTATACAAGATACAATGGATGAATTTGGGTATATAACATAAATATACTAAAAACAAATTTGAAATAATATGACAGAATATTAAGGCTTGAGGAAACCTTTTTGTTTCAACAGACGTTTCACAGGACTCTGAGCATACAGCAGCGATCGTACGGATTTGGCTGCTGAACCATGCTCCAAGGCAACTCCAAACACTACCAGAATCAGCACAACTTAGACCCATAGAACATCTGTTGGTTTATTTGGAAATTAAGATTCGCCAGCACACGATTTCCAGCAAGGATAAGTTAAGAAACGTTATCAAGGAAGGATTGCAAAAAATAAACTAACAAGACACCGCAAAGCTGGTTGAGTCCATGCAAAAACGCATGAAAAAGATTATTAAGTGCAGAGATTATCTCACAGGCTATTAAATTTAATATGTCTGTGAATTTTAATTTTTTCAATTTAATTATTAAGAAATAAACGCAGATTTTTCTGATTTGAAAATTGTTGCTTTTGCATGTAACTGTGTTTAATTTTGTTTTAAAGCATAACATTTAATTTTTTGTGTTTGCATTTCATTAGGCCTTTTCTTTTGTAAGCATGTCACAAAAGAACAAATAAAATAAGCACTGCTTTCTATGCAATATTATTTAATGTTGAAATTAAATAATAATGAATAATAATTCTTTGCAACTATTGATGAGAATATTTTTTTACATGATTGCAAATAAAATATGGATTTTCATGCCTTTTAACAGTAAAATAATATACAGAAAAAATAATGTATTTGTTACGAACAAAGACGACACAAAATACGAATAATTAACGAAATCATTCGTTGACAGTTAACCGGAAATTTCATAAACACTTTCAAAAGTCGTTCACAATAGATAAATTTTTAGTGTTGGCAACCATGAGATTTGAACTGCTTATTAGTTAAGCGGTTTCAAAAAGGTTGGACTACATAAGCCAGCAGTGTTGTTGTTTCATATATTACTTTTAAAATAAGCAGTTGTTCTTTTGTGATATGCCTACAAAAGAAAAAGCCTATTTTTGTTTGTTTGGTTAAAAAAAATCGGAAAGCAAAAATCAGTTTCAATAAAAATTAAATAAGTTATGCGAAATTTAAAAAAAATGTTGTGGGTGAACCCGTATATGTGTATCAAGATGTACCAAATCCAACAAAAATTGTTCGCGCTCGAAGCAGTATGAAACAAGTGGTCGCTTGTTTTTTCGGGAAAACTGGTCATGTGGCAGTTATACGGACACCATTACAAGAATATAAAAATGTCAATTCAGTTCCGATCTTCATCATATCGGATGAAGATCGATATATCTCGTTCTGTATCTCGTGCTCATATATCTCGTCTAACAACCGCCTACAGTCGTATTTGAACATTCAAAAAATCAAATTGATGAGTTATCCGACAGATTTACATACAGTTCTGATTTGGCACGCAATGACTTCTTCTTGTTTCTGAACGTCAAGAATAAATCACGAAGCCGTTGTTGCATTTAAAAAGCATGTTTTAGAGGTGTCTGAAAAAGATTGGAAAAATGCTTTGACGAATGGTTCGAACGCATGCAAAAGTGTGTTAATCATAAAAGAGAATATTTCGAGAAATATCCTCGTATTGGATCATTAAAAAAATTTGAAAATAAAAAAGCACTATTGATGAACTATTGATGAAAATCGAAAGGTTTTATACTGGCACTCAGGTAGAAAGTTGCTACAAGTGAGTAACTCGTAGAACGATAAAGGTGATAGAAAAAAATTTACAAGCGAAACTGCATTTGTAGAAACGCCATATGATGACAAAGTACAGTACAAGACGACTCACGGTGCCCTGAAGAGCAGTTGAGCCTTGTAGAGTTTTTCGAAAATGTGTAAATTTCTAACACATATGTACTTTTCTGCAATCTATAAAGTATTTGGATATATGAACTTTTTTCTGTATTGAAAGCACTTACTTGAAAAAGTTGTTGAGCGTTGTTATCTTTTTGATCATCGCTTGGCATTCTTATAGAGTTGGCTGATTTATCGAATAAAAAATCAGATACGCAATATATATATTTATGTACACTTGAAGGTGCTACGTGGAATAAATTGGCCACATTTCTGTAAATGGTTTTGTTACCCGCAAACCTGTAACTTGAGTTGTATGCATGAGTTTTTAACATATTCAGAAATATGTAATAAACACCATAAAAAAATAAGGAATTGCGTTTTAGAATTGCATTCAATCTTTTCGCCAGCACGTATTTTATGATTATTATGCAAAGATTTTTCAATCTGATATCAAATTTTTTTTCTGCAATGAAACGACCGACTCGAAAATTTTCTCTAAACCGAATAAATTATTTTTACAAATTGCATAAATAAACAAATTGAATTTTAGTCCACAATATTTATGACAAAATCTTCAACTATGCTTTGTTCCGTTTTCCAATTGTATCAATTTGAAAAATATGTCTTCACCTAAAGATTCATCTTCAGATAATAATATATTTGCAGCCAAATGTGGAATAATTTTGAATTTATCCATTTTATTAAAAACGACCATCAAATATAACGAACAATTCACACTTTTTCATCTGTCAAATTATATAAAACAGCTGTTAATTTTAGGGTAATCTTGCTACTGTGGCAAAAATTCCAGACTGTTATAAATTAATCTCAAGTGTTACACATAAATCTCGAAAATTATACAGATTTACCACGCAAAAAGAAAATTGCAATAAAATTAAATTTCGATTAAAAAAGTTACCCTAGAATTACCAAAGATTATCTTAAAATTAACAGCTGTTCTATATGATTTGCCAGATGATTTGTTTCTGCATGTGCAAATTTTATTTGTTTATGTATTTCGCTATCGTTTTAAAAAAAGATTTAAAGAAAGATGAACAAATATTTGTCAACTTGATATCATTTGCAAAATCGGAAAAAAGTGCTGTTAAAGATTTAATGATGAATGCTATGTACAACCACACAGAAGAAAAAGCTGGTGTGAACATTAACAACTGCAAATATTTTGGATTACTCTAAACATGTTCGGTTTGAACAAAATTTGACAGATGTAAGCAAATCTAGAGTGAATTCAGATTTACCAATCGAACACGCCATAAAATAATGAAAATTGTCCTAAATTAATTAACGATAGGTCAACACTAAAATTTTGGAGCCTTATTTGAATTGTAATTCTTTCAAGTTAAATGAATGATGTTGACCAGAGGGTCGATTCCGCAACTGCGAAAAAAATTTTGTGTACACGCAATATAATACATACTCCTAATGTGAAAAATGTGAAGTAATTCGTTATTTTTCAATTTTCAGTCTATAGTAAAACAGTTTCAACATTCCTGAATATTACTTGCAGAGTCTTCGCAAAGGTGCAAATGAATTTGCAGAACTTCTCCAAGAAGCTCAATTGATGAGCAACTTTAAACATGAAAATATTGTACGCTTGATTGGTATATGCTGCGATACTGAGTCCATATCAATTATTATGGAGCATATGGAAGGAGGAGATTTACTTAGTTATTTACGGGAATCACGGCAAAATTCAAATGTTGGAGATAGATATTATGATTTCCGTATTGATTTTATTGATTAACTTATTCTGCTAATTATTTACAGAAAGCAACAGCATTGGAATTAAAGGATATGTTGACAATGTGCATTGATGTTGCAACAGGTTGTAACTATTTGGAGGACATGCATTTTGTGCACCGGGATTTGGCTTGCCGTAATTGCTTGGTATCATCTCGTGATCCAAGTAAACGTGTTGTTAAGATTGGTGATTTTGGTTTAGCACGTGATATTTACAAGAATGATTATTACCGTAAGGAAGGTGAGGGCTTATTGCCTGTACGTTGGATGGCTCCGGAAAGTTTAATGGATGGAGTTTTTACCACACAAACAGACATTTGGGCATTTGGAATCCTTTGTTGGGAGATATTAACATTAGGTCAACAACCTTATGCTGCTCGTAATAATCTAGAAGTACTAAATTATGTAAAAAATAATGGAAGACTGCTGCAACCTGATATTTGCCCAGATAAACTGTAAAGGCAAAATAATATACATAAAACGCCGCTACGATTTTTTTTTACTCTTTTTAGGTTCGCCTTAATGTTGAACTGTTGGAATGTGAACCCTAGCGACCGTCCTAATTTTCGTACATGTGTAAGAGTTATATTAAACATAAAAAGCGAGCTTCATTGCATCAAAACTGAGTACGGTAGCGATTATGATGATTATACTGCATACACGAATAACAGTGATGCAACTTTGACCAGTTTTTTGTCAAGACCACTGTCAAAAGTGGATGAAGAAGTTGATGCCGAAGAATTTAACGTGGACATAGAGATAATAAATTTTATGTCGGGGACTAAAGTAAGACCTGAGCACGATACCAACAACGTGCACAAACTGCAAAGATCCATTAAAAAAGATGACATAAAGGAAGGAATTTCTCGATTGTAATTGCTTCAACAAAATATTTAAAATCTGATTTATCAAATATATTAAATAGTATAAAATCTCAAATAAATTAACGAATTTAAAACAAATAACATTTTACAACAAAATGCCAAACTTTCAATAAATAAATTATTTAAAATATATAAATTTATGTTTGTTTGTGTATATTTAAATTTAAAACATGTGTGCGACACACATTTCGTAGCTATAATAATTTTAAAAGTAAACTTGATCATAAGAATTTTTTCACTTTTGTTTACTTAATTGACATATTTTTAATACATATACAATACATTCTTAATATATATGTACACATGTAATTGTCGAAAATCAAAATAATTTAACTTATTTCTTTCTTATGTATTGTGCTGGGCAGTAGCGAGGCGTCAGGTTTTTGGCAAGGTGTTCACAATTTGATCAAAACAGAATTCCAACTATAACGTATTCCCTCTACTTCTAAGTTTCGTCCCTTCCACAAGCAAATAGCGTACAAAACCAACAAAACAATTTATTTAAATGTTCGCAGTCTGTGATCCACTGGTTTCTATTTACCATAAAGCTGTACCTGTAGGAAACCGGCTACTTACCACAGAGTTCGACATTTTTACATCAGGTACCAAATTCTTCATATCTGGAGTTGGTCTATTCATTTTATGAATTAAAATCTTTTTTTCAGAAGATCGTTTAATAAAATATAATTGAATCAAATCTTTAAATACGCATTTATATTAATATTATTTTTCACTTCAAATTTCTTTAATTTTTTTCTTTACTTTTACCATTTGCTAGTATAAAATTGCAATAATGACTTTGTTTTTGATTTATTTCCAACCTCTACATAAGAGTAAAAAACTCTCTTGCATTCATTTACTCTTTTATTTTGTATTTAATATGCGCGGTTCAGTTTTTTTACTGTACCATATGCTCATATAAAACGGCAACCGTGACTTTAATTGTATTTGCACGCTTTGTATGAACTTATGATTCAGTTTAGTCGACTGAACCTCTAGTCAAACGTTAAGCGATTTTCACTCAGTCATTTCTTTTCTGTTTTGTATTTACTTTGCATAACATTCACTTTTTTTATTGAACCGCTTGCACGCATTAATTTAGGAGTTATGATTATTTTGCGTACATATTTTGCGGGGTTTATTTTCTCTTTTATTTTTATTTTTATTTTATTTTTTATTTTTATGTTGTGTATTCAATATTGAACATATTCCTAATGTGAATATTATTTCATTTGCATGCTTTGTAACCTTAAAACTGCGGTGCAGTTTTTATTCTGAACCTTAGTATACATTCCTTTCATGTGTTTTATCTTTTATTAATTATAAGTAATGTTGGGTGTAACTAACATATGTATGTGTGATTTTGTTTGTATTGTACGTTTTGTGTTTATGTTAATCTGTTTGGAAAAGCTTTATAAAAAATGTTAAGTAGCAACATAGCGACATTATTTACCTAATAAAAAAAATCAAAAAAGAAAGCTTTGTTAAGGTGTTCAGTGAACACTCTGAACCATTCGACGCCTCGCCTCTGGTGCTGGGTGAAAGTGTCTAAAATTCATGATGACGGAGCTAGTGGTAGTTGTCTAAATGGTTATAAAAAATGTTTGGAGAAGATTTATTCCTTCAAATTTCTTAACATTGACGATAATGTCGTGCAATATTCTTGTGCTTATAATGTTGACTGTTTCTTTACTTCTCGTTATTTAAATTGCACAAAATTGGATGAAAAGTTTTCGAAATCTTACTCCTCCTCTTTTCTTTCCAACAATTTTAAGAAATCTGTTCACTGTATTGTTGAAGACTAAAATGCCCATGTAGCAGATAATGAAATAATTTGTGGTAATTTATTATCTTATCAAGGCAAGAAGAGTATCAAGATTTGTGAAGCTGACACCAAAAGTAGAAAACATCTTGGCTTTCTGGAGGATATCCAGAATAATTATAATTCACAGCTGATATCGAGGTAATGAAGATGGAAAATTTACATATGTGGAACCAAATGGATCAACTGTTGTTGATTCCTGTATCTGTTCCTTCCAATAACTTAGGTACATAAGCTCCTTACGTATTCTTTGCAAATCATACTCCGATCGCATGCTGCTGGTTATTAAAATTCGTTTTTCATCAAGAGTAGAAGTAATTTCGAATAACATACAGGTTCCGAAAAAATGCGTTGGAAAGAAGCTTGCGCAATTAAATACAGAGAACGACTAGAAATGACAACTTGTTATGTTTTTATAAGTATTAATATGAAGATAGTTGCTAAATTGGATGTAGTTCTGAAAAAAGTTCGCGATATGTGGGGTAACCAAATCATAAATAAGTGTATTGAGCCCAAAGATGAATGATTTGACAACCAGTGTCAAGAAGTATGGGAAAAAATGTTTCACTTAAGTTAGTTCGAAAATACAATCTAGAATTTCCATGGCAATTAAATAATATTGAAGCACTGTAAGGATGGAAATTTTTACCAATTTCCAACCTACATATAACTAGTGTGCAGTTAATACCTGAAATAAAAATTGGTTAATTTTTATATAATATATTAAAAGTAAATAACTTACCATAAACCCACCCCCGCATGCACGCAACTGCATCAGAATGAATTAAACCTAAGATTACATTGACAAATTAAAGGAATGCAAAATGTATTCAAATAAATAAGTATTGTACCTACCTTATTTATTTATTATTTAAACTTGTACTTTTAATATTTTTAATATTTATTTTATTTTAATAAATAAATATAAATATTTAATGCTGCCACTACCGACCCTAAGTTAAACACGTTCAAAACAAAACAAATGGCCAACACAAGAAACGTCAAAAAAAGCTTTTATGCAAAGAGCTTTGTGTTAAAATTGATGCGTCGAAAGCGCAAAACAGCAACGACGTCAAAAATGCAAGCCAGCTGTAAACTAAGCTTTGCGCTACATTACAGTTTGGTCAATTGCGTATATAAGACGACGCATTTACTTAGAGAAGGCAGTTAGTGATTGACGCTTGAAGTCATCGGAGTTCGTGATCGACTCGCGAAGAGAAGCATTGGGAAACATTACCGGAGCTAAGTATAAAGAAGCACCTTTATATTTTTTTTTGTTTTTTTATATATATCTTTTCTCCCTTCCCCAGCGTGAACACGTTTATAATTTGCTACCAAATCCTTGCATAAGCGTGAACACGCTTATAATTTACTACCAAATCCTTAAATAGCGTGAACACGTTAAATCCTTTCTCCAGCAAACACGTTTATAATTTACTACCCAATCCGTGGATAAGCGTGAACACGCTGATCCTTTGTCACTAAAACTTATATAGGCGTGTTCACGTCTATACATTAACATTGATAACCCTTTACAACAGGTATAGAAGAAAGGAAATCAGCTGAAATACACAAAACCATCAAAGAACAATACGCTGGCATCGAAGAAAGGAAATTACTATCAACATCAACATCAATAGCAATATCAATATCAATATTAAAGTCAATATCCTGTAATAGGATAGAATCATAGCATAATTAAGACGATTGTTAGTTTTAAAATAAATATATTAATAAAGAAAAGAAAATTAAAACAAAATTTGAAACACGGTCTTCTAACATTTATAAATTTTATTGTAACGACCCAGGACCAACCCTTGAGTATTACCCCGGCAAACAGAGCGACGAAAAATTGTCGTTACAGCACTAAATACTGTTAAATCGCTTTTGACTGGAAAAAGCCTACAAATTATTTGAGAAACACTCCCCTCAAAATAGCTACTTCTCTACAATGTGAAGACTTTCGTATTCACTATGAATTCCTACTTTCATGCAGTTCCGAACTTTTAGCTATCTCCTGGTGTCTTCCACCTTTTGTCAATTCCTTCCTTGATTCTCCTTTTGAACTTCGTGAGCTCCAGCACCAGATGACGACAGCATTCATAAAGAGATCTACAACAACGCTCCTGGTTTCCTTAACAAGTTACTTACGCTATATAATTTTATATTTCTTCACGATGTCATGCCAATATTTAATCATTGCTCGACAATGACTGAGCTCAATAATATCTTAAATGATTATCAAGTTGGATTCCGCAGATCCTACTCAACTATTTAAAACATTTTCAATCTGACCTCTATAACACACTTAAATTTAAGTGATAATAAGAAAACATATCTAGGAATACTTTATTTCTCAAATTAGCTATTTTAGGTTTGTCTCACAAGTTTTTAACCACACTAATGAAATTATACTCGAATATCAGCTGTGGCATAAGGGATGGTAATCTTATGTTATTTTCACAATTTTCACAATGGGATCTTATTGCGGATCCAGATAAAACCAAGATTATGATTTTCAAAAAAGGTTCTAGACTAAGTAATTCGTTGTCGTGGAAGATCGGGGAAAGTCAGGTAAAAATTGTCAATGAACATAAAAACCTACGGATATAAATTACGTATAACATCTCCTACAATAAACATTTGGCCTCTAAATTTTTATTTTGTAAAAGTGCCAGTAACTCCACGTGGATAAAAAACTTCTTAAATAAATTAAAAATTTTCTACATGGCAACACGTTCAATTGTAGTATACAGTGCACAATTTTGGGGCTAAAAACACAATGATTAAGTGGAAAACTATTTAGATTTTTAAAAAAAAAATTCAATTTCTACTCACTAACACCCCAAACAATGGCATTTTAGGTTAGTAACAACACGAGTTTTCCGGTTCGTTAAAATTCTTTTGCTGCGGTAACCTCAGCCTCTTCCAGGGATCGCTACAATAAATTTATATTTGCGGGGACAGGACTTCTCAAATGAAAGATGTTGATTTAATTTTAAACAAGGAGAGTTTATTAAAATAATTCAAATAAACAAAATAACATATAAGTTATGAACGATTTTCAGAAAAAAATAGAATTTAATTTCCTGTGAAATTTCTTGGTGATCAGGCTGATGATGCCTTGTGAAGTCCTTTGAATTCTATGTTATGCTCTTTGTCTTATACTTCTTGGTATCTGCTTTGGGAAAAATATTGATGTGTCGGTTTTCCCTAGGTCCCTTGCTGTGTGTACTCTA